GAACTAGAACTAGATCTGGAACTAGAACTAGATCTGGAACTAGAACTAGAACTAGAACTAGATCTTGAACTAGAACTAGATCTGGAACTGGAACTGGCTGGGTGTGTACAGTTCTGATACAGAGGATGCTGTCAGCTAATCCTACAGCTAACAGGTACTAACAGCTACAGCAAATAGCTACAGCAGACAGCTGCAGCAAACTCCCTACAGCTAGTAACAGCAAACAGCTACAGCAAACAGCTACAGTAAACAGCTACAGCAAACAGCTACAGCAAACAGCTACAGCAAACAGCTACAGCAAACAGTTACAGCAAACAGTTACAGCAAACAGCAACAGCTACTACAGCAAACAGCAAACAGCTACTACAGCAAACAGCTACTAGTAGCAATAGCAATAGCAATAGCAATAGCTCCAGCAATAGCACTACTACTAGCAATAGCATTACTAGCAATAGTAGCACTACTAGCAATAGCAAGAGCAAGAGCAAGAGCAAGAGCAATAGCAGAAATAGTAGCAGAAAATGTAATACTAGTAGTTGTTGTAATTTCAGTACTAGATCTACTACTGCTAAACTACTAGTATTTCATTTTCTCAAACTATTCTTACAATTATGCATATATTTGTACTACTACTAGTACTATACTACTACTAGTAGTACTATATGAAAAACAGAAGTAGTAGCAGAAAAAGTAATAATAGTAGTTGTTGTAATTTCAGTACTAGATCTACTTCTGCTAAACTACTACTATTTCCTTTTCTCAAACTATTTCAATTATTCACACAGTTGTAGTATAGATACTCTCAGCATCACTAGTAGTATCAGCAATAGCAATACTATTGCAGACGAAGATGAGGAAGGAAAGTTTTTTTTTCCTCCGTACGAACAACAATTATTTTCAAATTTGGCTACGGTAGAATCTACACAAATTACTGGTATCATGATGTTATCAGATTTTTTCGGATCTGATCACCTCTACACACGAATTAGTGATCAGGTTTTTATTCAACACTGATTCCTAATACAGTGCCTTCGACTTCCACTGCCACCGAAGCAGACCAATAAAATAATGTTTTACTACTAGTTTCAAAGAAAGATTTGACGTGCCAACCTAATCTTGTTTTTGGGATTAAGACTAATGTAGCTTCCACTTTGTCGTGCGTACGAGCATTCCCGCCGCAAAATCCAATCGAAAAGATAATGCCGATCCCGTTACGTATTCAACTGGTACGGGTGCGAGTACGAGTACTGGTGTTCATACTCAGCTGGGCGATCGGAGTGGTTGTTTCAACGAATAAGCTCGGATCGAAACGAAACGAAACGAAACGCATCGGATCGTCCGAGACGTGCGAAAGCATTACCATCATGTCTACGACCACCGCCATTCTGTCCCAGCCATCCGCCGCGGCTGCTGCAACCCGTGCAGCAATGGAGGTACGGTGGGTGCAACTACAGCAGACGCAAAGAATCAGAGTTTTTGAATCTACGTAGGTTTGTTAGCATATTCTCAACAGTTCGTACCCATGCATTCGCATCGGCAATGGAATGGTTGGTTTTCTTTTCTTCTTTCTTTCTTTGGATTCGCCTTGGCTGGTAGTTAGTTCGGGTGTCGGCGTCGCCTCCATCCAGAACGGCCTTTTGACCGCGGCCACCATAAAGGCCCTGAGCCAGGCGACCTTTACGATTTTGCTGCCCATGTTTCTGGGAACCTCCATCGTAAAAACCATCACCTCGTACGGACTGACCAGGTCCTCGCTAGTGGTTCCCGCCATCGCCGCCCTGCAATCCTTTTTGCTGTACGTGATTACCACCCGGGTGTTGTATCCGCTCTTTCTCACCCAAGACGAGCGCGCCACCGACGAAGCCAGTGGGGCCGCCGTCTGTGCCTCCTTTGGAAACGGGGGGGTCCTCCCGATTATCTTTTGCGATTCGCTCTTTCGGCAGCGGCAAAACGACTTTCTAGCACTGAGCACCGGGTACGTTTCCATGTTCCTGGTGGGCTGGTCGCCCTTTTTCTGGGCATTCGGTCGATCGGTATTGATGGGCGGCGGCAACGATGCCGGGGCCCAAAACAACCGTCCGTCAGCCAAGCACAGCACAGGGCACGTTCTTTCCCTCGCCAAAAAGATGGTCCCCCCGCCCGTGATGGGTGTGCTGCTTGGCATGGTCGTCGCCACCGTCCCGATCCTACGGAGCGCCTTTGTGGGAACCGCCAGCGGGGACAGCCGCGCACGTGCGCCGCTGGGGGTGGTCTTCGACACGGCCCAGAATTTCGGAAAAGCCGCGAGCCCGTTGTCCCTGCTTGTGCTGGTGTCCTCCCTGGCCATGGGAGCGGGCTTTGGGAAGAAAGCGCCACCGGCGCCGGCGAGGGAACAGGGCGGCAGCCACCAGCCCGCTGCCCCCGCCAAATGCACCCTGCCGTTCTACAAGCGCTGGGCCATTGTGTCGTTCTCGCGGTGCGTGGTCTCGCCCGCGCTCATGCTGGGGCTCCTCAAGGCCGCCTCCTCGGACCTCCTGCGCAACAGCATCGGGAGTCCCCTAGAGCAGCCGATGCTCTGGTTCGTCTGCCTCCTAGAGTCCTGCATGCCGCCGGCCCAGAACCAGGTCGTGATGCTGCAGGTCGCCAACAAGATGGAGCAGGCCAACGAGATGGCCACTTTTTTGTTCGGCGTGTACGCCACCTCCATGGTGCCGCTCACGGTGATTGTTAGCCTCGCCCTCGATCGGCTCGGGTTGATGTGACGGGGTGGTGGTGAGCGAGATGCCATTGCGAATCCATGCAATGCTACCGAATGCTGGGAATGCGTGTTGTGCAAGCAGTAGACATCACCATTTTTGGCAAAGGGGAAACAAAAAGAATCCGCTTGCACAGGCAAGGTTAGTGTGTTGGGATGCGTGATCGCTGCAAATGCCTACAAAACACACCCGAGAACCAGGCTTGCAAAACCAAAAACTAGAACACGCCTAACTAAGAGAACCAGAAATATTCTAAAGCTGTAGCAGGTCGATCTGGAAGAATACTGAATCAGTCCTGTACATTCCGTCCGAATGTCACAATTAATAGTATCCTATCGCATTATGATAGATCGTTCTCTTTGTCTCTCTCGGTCTCGCAATTGCCCCGTACCGCATCGCTTCGCATCGCATCGCATCGCATCGAAACGCACCAAAATCCGTCGCCCGGTACCGTAGGGTGAAACCACAACCGACGCGCAGCGCGGCTCCAAAGACACACACTCACACTCACTCACTCACTCGCTCGCTCGCTCACAAACCGCACGCAGCGACGGCGCTGCCATGCCTTGGCTCACGCGCCCACGATGTGCGGCTGGACGAGGATCCGGCCGGTGTCGCCCCGGATGAGGATCAGGGACTTGCGCTTGTTTGGGCCGTCGTCCATGTAGGAGGTCATCATGTGGGTGATCTGGACCTTCCACTCCTTGGCCTTGTCGTCGATCGGCTTCTTGCCCTCGAAGCGCGGATAGATCTTTCCCTCGGTCGTCGGGACCAGCTGGGACTTGCGGTTCCGGGAGATGAGCTCCCGGGTGTCCTCGAAGGTCGCCAGGACCAGGTGCTTTATGGGGGGGTCGGCGTGGGCGCAGGCCCGCAGTATGTTGACGGCCATCTGCTCCTCGATCTTCGAGTCGAAGCGCTCCCAGTACTTGGTGACCAGAAAGGCCCGGGAGCAGCCCGAGGCCACCTTGAGGAGGGAGGACTCGTCGTTCCAGTCGGCGACCTTGACGGTGACGCCCTTGAGCTTGATGAGGGCCTTGGTGTTCCGGGACGTGAAGACCCGGACGGCGGCCACCACCCGCAGCCCCTTCTCGGACAGGACCCGGACCATGGTCGACCCCTCGTGGGTGTTGGCGTTGAAGACGGCGACCTGCTCGGCGTTTTCGTCGACCAGGTCGGCCGGGTCGATGTGCTTCATGGAGGGGGGCCTTGGAAGGTAGGGGTCCCACTCCTCCGTGAGGGTCCCGTCCGCGCTGGTGGTCAGCGACTTGAGGCCTCCCATGTTGTCCGCGGCCTTGGGGGACTTGAAGCCTCCGCGGGGGGATTTTTTGGCCTTGATCACCCTGGCGTTGGCAACGTTGTCCTCCTGGTGGCCCAGGGTGTCGATTTCGGCGACGAGGTCGGCCTTTTTGTTTTTCTTTTTCCGGAACATGGCGCCGTGGTTTCTTTCGGACTCGGGCGGGTTTGGGTTTGCGCTCGCGCTGGGATACGGGCGGTGTTGTTGTGTTGTTGTGTTGTTTGGTGTGTGGAAGGCCACGGGTGTTCAATGGGTCGTTCCGTTCCGTTCCTTTCCGTTCGCCAAGAATTGTGTTGTTGTGTCGAACCGGAATGCACGGCGCTCTGTGGAACGTGCCGTCGCTTCGATTCGATGCCTGTGTCTGTTTGTTTCCGTTGTCCTTTCGTACCGAATCGGTGAACGAATCGACTTGTTGGAACTGTATCGGTGTCTTTCGAAGAAAGGTGTGTTTCCCTTGGCAAGGCAACCGTGTTGTTGGTTGCTGGATGGATGGGGGCTTGTGTTTCTTTCTTTCTTGCTTGCTTTCTTTTTTCGAAGGAGGGCGGTGCTGCCGAGGGTTCCAATCCTCCGAATCGAAAAGAATCCATCGGTGCCGTACGTACCGTATCGTACCGTACGGTACTGTGCTGCGGCAAGGACGTGGGTTTTCGCGCATCGATCGTTGTTCCGCTTCGGTGAACGGGGGCGGTGCCTGCGCTACGCTACGAGTGCTACCGGGATGTACGGTACACCTACCGCAAAGCATCGGTAGGTTGCTGCCAAGCAAGGCGGCCGTGACGATTCGTGCAGATCCCATCGTGAACTCGCGTACGATTTGTACGATGCGTTGCAGGGAATTTTTTGGTTCCAGTCGTCGGAGCGCGCTTTTTTTGGCCACTCCGCCACCGCCGGGTCATTTTCGACGCCGTGCCATCGACAATTATTGCAGTAGTATCCCACTGTCAGAAGTTGAAGGACGAAGCATTTTTTGGTTTCTGCTTCTCGAGCGTTCTATTTGGACTGAACTAGTTTCTTTTCATTCTCCTTCTGCGGTTCGCGAACCGAAGAGCCACCTCTCCGATGTTTCTATGGCCTCTCGATCGCGCGGGAACACCAGTCATTGCAGATGGTCATTCATTCGGGTACAAAGACCACAACATTTACTACCACAGAAAAAGAGAACAAGAACCTACCGTACGGTACCCAAGTACTTGTACTTTACCGTCCGGTATTCTCAACGACGCTGCGTCGTGACACCCAAACCACGAATAGATTCGGTCGCCTGAACCATCCACGGGCCTTGCACGAACACTGCCGACATTCGTTCCACTACAAAGACAAAGACCAAAACAGACACATCCAATCGCATCCGAGAGAACCGAGTTAGACAAAAGAGACCAAGAATTGACGAGAGAGGAGCAGGGCACAAAGATAAAACGACGGCGGCATCAGAATGAGGTATTCGTCGTTCTTCTATCTATCCTGCCTGCTGGTTGCCATCGATCGGCCGTGGCAGATCCACGCCAGGGGTTTTTTCGGCAGGCTCCTCGACATGGTAACCGGCGAGGGTGGGGGGGACCACCCGGTCGGCGGAAACAGCAACAGCTACAGCAGCAGCAACAGCAACAGCACGGGCAGCATCAAGATCGGCACCCGGAGGACCGAAAGAGCAGACGGCGGCGGCGGGTTTCCGACGGCGAGGCTCTCGAACGGCGTGAGCTTCCCCCTGGTGGGGCTGGGGGCGGGGAACCTGCCGCCGGAGGCCGTCCAGGGGATCGTCGCCCACGGGCTGGCCGCGGACAAGAACGTCCGGCTGATCGACACGGCGCGGGTGAGCCAGAACGAGTTCCTCGTCGCCCGGGGGATCGTGGAGGGCGCCGAGCGGCTGGCGTCGGCGCCGGACAAGGGGGCGGACCCTTCCGAGGTGCACGTCGTCACCAAGGTCTGGTACACCCACCTGGGGTACGAGCGGACGCTCCTGTCGGCGAGGTCCTCCCTGGAGGCCCTGGCGGAGGCCCGGGACCACCCGGGCGTCGACCTGAGGGTCCACCTCCTGCTGCACTGGCCGCGGTGCTACGACGAGATCCCGTGGATGGACTGTGCCGGCGAGGAGGAGGGCCTCCCCCCGGACACCAGGGCCGCCGGCCCGGCCCCCCACCTGGACCCGGCCGGCGCCTGGAAGGGGAGCTGGAGGGCCCTCGAGGAACTCCTGGCCGACCCGTCCAACCCGATCGCAAGCATCGGGGTCTCGAACTTCCACCGGAGGGACCTCGAGGAGCTCGAGGCCTTTGCGGCCGTCCGGCCGCAGCTCCTGGAGACCAGCGCCTGGTCGCTCCTGTACGATCCCCTGCTCATCGAGTTCTGCCACAAGTGGGGGATCCACGTCGTGGCGCACAACCTGATGGAGGGGGTCCTCTACCGGGCAAGCGAGGCGCCCTTTGCGTCCCACCACCTTTTGTCGGTCGCCAACGACCTCTCCCTGACCATCGATGCCGGCAAGGCCACCACCGACCCCGGGACCGGGGTCTCGGCCGCCCAGGTCGTCCTGGCCTGGCTCGTCCAGCACTCCATCTCGGTCATCCCCATGACGACCGACCTGTCCCACCTGGGGGAAAACTCCGCGGTGGCCCTCTCGAGGATCCCGGCCATGGACGACCGGCAGGTCCGGGTCGTCGCCGAGTCCGTCGAGGCCCTCATCAGCGGGGACGACCTGACGGAGGACGCCTTTGTCACCGTCACCTTCCACGCCAGGTCCAAGGACGTCTTTTTGTACTGGCACGATCCCGAGTTCGGGGGGGAGATCGAGGTGGCCCGGATCGACAAGGGGACGTCCTTCGAGGAGTCCTCGCACCCCGGCCACGAGTTCAAGATCTACGACGTGGAGGGCGGGGGGATGGAATTCTTCCGGGTCGCCGGCAACTACGGGGAGCACAAACACATCGAGCTGTAGCACAGCACAGCACCGCACGACACGACACGACACGACACGACACAACACAACACAAGACCAACAAAACGAGCGCACAAGGGAATCGGAGTGGCCGCTGCTCCCAGCACGGCACGCGAGAACGATGCTTGCTTCGAATTTCACTGCAACAACAACAACTACTACTACTACTACTACTATTTCTGTAATTCTATACTGTAACACTACACGTACCACTACTCACAAAAACCAAAACGAAGTTTCACGGCGAAAAATAGAAACGATCAACGATTGGATGAATACTGGGCTGGAGGACTGCTGCGGAAGTACAGTAGAAGTACTTCGTAGTAGATTTTCAGTCTTAATTTTGGTGGACCTTTCTGTTGAGTCTTGAACGGACTCGAGATTACTATACTGGGTATTTCGGAGGATGCTGCTGTTTACTGAGACTGAATACCGATGCCGGGTACCGACACTAATACGGAGGACGTTGATACTAGTTGCCGATGCGAGACTCGACTTGCTGATACGGAGGGCAGTGAACATGATTTCGGGGGATGATGCTGCTGGCACGAACAGTGGATGCTACTGGGGTTTGATAGGGCCAACATTTACGATAACTTCATTATTGGCATGGACCCAACATGGCATCGTTTTGTAGTTTTTCTTTAATCCTAATTTGTTTTAATCCTATTTTTGTAGTATCGCCACTTTATTTGTAATCTATTTTATCTGTATTGTGTATTGTATGATCATAGTGCAGTGTCACCCTGGCAGAACTAGACCTTAGCAGAGATTGATGACGCAGGCATTTTCTGCAATGCCCAGCAAGTTGCAATCCGAGTTGTTGGAATCTCCGATGTTCAGGCAGGAATCGTTCCCACTGCTGATATAGCTCCCCTCGCTGGTGTAGGCCACAACGTCCAGGTTCGTGGGACCCACGTAGGTGCATTGTCCCTCCTCGACCTCGACCCGGCCATTGCGATTTCCGCCCAGTCTCCTGCTCGCACGGAGCACAAAATCGGCGGTGACGGTGGCGTCGCAGTTGTTGACGGCGTAGACCGAATACTTTGCGGCGGCTGGCGTGCTAGACGGGGCTGGCGTCGGTGGGGGAGGGCAGTTCTGGTCCATAAAGTAAAAGGCCTCGGTGCTGACCCCGTCCTTCCGGCAGATCCCGGACTGGCCGTCGCTGCCGTTCACTATCTCATACTTGCCCCCGTTGTCCTCGCAGCAGGTCACGGCGGGAGAGATCAAGGCTTGGGCGCTCCCCACAGCAGTGACGAAAAGGATGGCAGCAATGCAAAGATTCATGGTATTCATGTTGGATGGTTGTTGGTTGTAGTAGGTAGTCAAGGATTGGCTTGTGGTTTTTCAGAGTAATTGTTTAGATTTTGTGAGAGTTCTGCAGAAGGAAAGGATTCGGAACATTTTTTACGAGTCGACGAGATCCCCTCGTGTTTTGGGTGTTCCCCCCCTTTCGCACGAATAATGTGTACTCGAGGACTGCGCCATGCAGGAACCATGGCTTTTTCTCCTGTCGCTTCCCCTCCTCTCTTTGTGCGGGACTGGTGCAATCGTGCACGTTTCGATACAAAACATAGCCCCCCTGAACTTCGATGGGTGACTTGTTCAACACGCATCGGTACGCACGATACGGGTACGAGTTTAACTTGAGTAAAATTACAACTACTACGGAGTAGAAATTAACGCAGGAATTTTGGCCCACCACTACTGTAACTTCGGCAGACTAGTTCTAAGCCACCAGAGCATCCTCCTTAAGCATCCCAATGACATGGATCTTTCAGTAATTGTATCATCTTGGTCTGGGCACTTAGTCTGGTGATCTAAAGTTGTTTTTTGATAGAGTTCTGGCCTATTTTCTAACTAGCAGGCAGTCTTCTTGTTGTAAACCGGCAAATTTTGGCCATACCGGCTGTTAGTAATGGAAAACCGACTCCCCCAAGGCCTATAATTGTGTAACAATGACACATGAGGCTGTTCCTAAACACTATTAGGAAGCTTTTTCCCAAAGAACAGCTGCTCTAAGGAGCAGTTCTAAATGTCCTATTACACTGTTTGCGGTCAAAAAGTGACCAAAACTAGAAGATCTATGTAGGATCAGCAGTACTAAAATACTCTTCCCAAAAATTAACTGCGATGCTACTAGTAATAATTTTTGGTGTTTGAATAGAATGCCTTTTTGCCCTGTAGGACATGTTAGGGTTCATGCAGTTAATGCATTTTACTCAAATTAAACTTGTACTCGTAGTTTGTTAGCATGTCGTATAATTCGTCTGGGCGGTTGGAAAATATTGTCATTTTTGGGCATGCGCAACAAGCAAAACTCTGTGCACTCTTTTTCAGCAACCACAAGGACCCTGTGAATTCTAAGCACATGGTCACAAAGTGCATGTTTTGTCTTATTCGTGAAGAGCATTCACAGGGTATGTCTGATTGTACAGTTAGAGAAAACGTACCTCCTCATGGGAAAAGAACCAGGTGGAGAATTTTCCGCTGCTTGGGAACTTGTGCAACCCCTATCAACATATGTATGGATCAAATCCTAGAACACAAATATAGCCATGGTCTTCATTAATGAATATAAGATAAAACTGGTCTTAATTTGACCTTTAAATTTTTGGTTAAGGCATATATATTCTAACTTTTTTTTCTCCGTGACCACTGTAGCTAATTTTTGTTACATGTGTAAGATATTGCTATACTCCAACCAGTTTCACCCTCATTTTTATTACACATGTAAGATCCAGCCCACCAAAGAGGTGCATCAAAAGGGCCCCTTGACATGGAATCAATCTTGGAGTCAACTGAAGTTAAGAACAAAGAACAATTGCTTGATACTCACACTCACGTATTCCCTGCTCCATCATTAAAAAAGCAGGTATGATTACAGTATTAGAGCTAGAGATAGAGATAATGATAGAGATAGAGATAGAGATAGAGATAGAACTAGAAATAGAAATAGAAATAGAAATAGAGCCTGAGCTAAAGCTAAAGTGCTGATAAACATATAAACATATGAATTAAAGCTCTCAAGGCAAAGTTAGAGATACTGCTACGTCACAAAAAGTGTTCCCGACCCCTCACATCCCATAGCGTCCCTTTTTTTTT